ATTTTGCCTAGGACTAAAGTTAATTATAATAATTTGCTCTTGTCATGTGCCTTTACCTTTCTTTCTCCAAACACTTATTTCATAGTTACGTTTGTCAAGTTCTTAAGGGTAATGATCCTATTTTATCATCAAGGAGGGGGGAAAAAAAACCCAAGACCAAAATGAAACAGATGTTCTAAAAACTGTGGGAAGTTGGCTTTGTCAGATCACTGAAGACATGATTTTTGACTTAGTATGTATACAATTGAAATAGAAAAAAGGCAGAGACCCTGACTGTGGGTTTCTTTGTGGCTGCTTCTTCCAATATACCTAAAGTCACTGATGCTGAGCGGATAAATGAGAGTCAAGTTAATTAGTGAAAATGGTTGAAGTGATCAAGCACAGTTTAGTAGACTCACTACATAAATCTATGTAAACGGAGGCTGACTCAGGTTGCTGCTGTAGCCACTAAGCACTGGTCTTTTTAATTTGAATACAGGCATATCTGAATATCTGTGGTGGTGGGTGGGGTGGGTAGATGCATCTTGGTTAACAATTTCTGCATATCAAATCAAAGGGAACATTTTTAAAAGTTCATTTTAAAAAACAGTAAAATGCATAGCGCTAAACATTTAGGAAAAATAATTTCCTAGCTCAGAAATGTTCATGCTATATAAATACAGTAATGTCGATAAAGTAAGGCACCAAATTAAAAACCCAAACTTGAACAGTTATTGCATGAGGCAAGACTATGAGCAAGAATAGGCAGGAGCCAAGAGCTTCCGTTAGAGGTATTTACCTGTGCTTTAGCATCTTGTCAGAGGCCTACAACAGAAAGGCTGGTCCCGGGCAAGGCAATTCCAGCCTCTGCTGTCAATCTTCCTTCATATCCCTTTCCTTTCCATGTTCCTCTTCCCTTCCCTGATACTCTACTGGTGGCCAAGGAAATAAGAGGCAAATCTTAGAATCCTTCTTAGACCATGGCTCCTTTGGTTTTTAATTGTAAAGACAAATGTGAATTAGTTGCCCAGAGTTTCTAAAGTGTGCTGCCTGTACTATATAGAAAACTTTTAATTTTACCACCTCCCTACCTGGAGTCATCCTTCTCAACCTCACTCCCTTAGAAAAGTTCTTCAGGTACAGGAAGTAGAGAGATCCACAGATGTCCTCTGAAATGTTTTCATTTTTTACATGCTAATCTGATATTTTATCCTTTTGTTATTTAAAACATTACGTTTAATGATCATATTATAATGAAATATTTGGGACTTTTTTGTTGTTGACAGCCTTTGAGCTTACAGAAGTCATCAAGATATGAAAGACAATTAGAAAAAGAGGAAAGAGATTAATAGTGAAATAGTCATATGCCTTAATGAATGAGGAGAAACTAACAAAAGCAGGAAGACAAGTTCATAATTGTACACACTGAAAGTTAACTTTGAGTAAACCTGTGTACAGAATTTTAAAAGTTTTTACATTTAACTTAATAAAATGTCATATATTTATTGACTTCCGTCACCACTTCTGTCACTTGACCTATGTATAGAATTTTAAAAAATTCTATAACAATTATATATTTATTTCAGAATGCAATTTTAATGTATTACTATTAATTTTCAAAGATCTGTATATCTACATTTAAGAGGTCTCTGTAGAACATTCTTTTTGCTTCATTGCACACCTCCCAGTGTTGACATATGCACATTGAGTCTTGAATGATGTCTCATTAACTACTGATGGGTCCTGGTATTCTAGGGCTCCCCAGTTGTTAGCTCTGTGTATTATTTACCAAATCAATGCAACTTTTGTAATAATAACAAAGACAAGCATTTGCACTCTTATATAAAACACTGCGACTTGAAAATGTGTGGGCTGGGCGTGGAGGCTCATGCCTGTAATTCCAGAAGTTTGGGAGGCTGAGGCAGGTGGATCACATAAGGCGAGGAGTGGCCAGGCCACCAGCCTGGCCAGAATGGTGAAACTGTGTCTCTACAAAAAAATACAAAAATTAGCTGGGCATGGTGGCAGGTGCCTGTAATCCTACTACCAGGGAGGCTGATGCAGGAGAATCACTAGAACCTGGGAAGCGGAGGGTGCAGTGACCCTAGATGGTACCAGTGCGCTCCGGCCTGGGTGACAGAGTGAGACTCCAGCACAAAAAAAAAAAAAAAAAAAAAAAAAGAAAGAAAAAGAAAAAGAAAACAAATTAGAAGAGTTATGTTGAATATTAAGCTTCAGTTCCTAAGTTTCTATTAAATAGTTACACATTAAAATATACTAATATATAATAAGCACATAATATTAAAAGCACAAAAATAGTTATATTTAAGAAGTCAATGTAATTATTGGCTATATAAGCCCCAAATGGAGTAAGCATACTTTATAGTCACCACAGTTCCGAACTTTAAAATTTAATTTAAAAAAATGCATACATCTATAAACACACACACACACTCACACAAATTAAAAATACATCAGAATGATGCAGAAAAAACAATGTGATTGAAATGTCTATGAAACTTATTCATCTCAGAATTGAAATTTATCATCATTTAGTCTAAATAAACAGAAGAGAACACAGACTCCTCAATTTTAGGATTTAGTTCACACAAAATCAGAATCACTGTGCTGACTGTGGTGAGTCAGGGATGAGGAAGATCTCAGCAACCTCTTGGATTCAGTGTCTATACTGGATCAAGTCAACATTTACTTTGGAGAAATGAAGTTATTTGAACAAAACAAGTAAGAGATAAACAATGTGTTTTTTTTCTTTCTCTCTCTCTCTTTCTTCTTTTTTGAGAAGGAATGTCATTCTGTTGTCCAGGCTGGAGTACAGTGGTGTTATCTCAGCTCACTGCAACCTTCGTAAGCAATTCTCCTGCCTCAGCTTCCCAAGTAGCTGGGATTACAGATGTCCACCACCAGGACCAGCTAATTTTTGTATTTTTCGTAGAGATAGGGTTTCACTATGTTGGCCAGGCTGATCTCGAACTCCAGACTTCATGATCTATGATCTGCCTGCGTTGGCCTTCCAAAGTGCTAGGATTACAGGTGTGCAAACAATGTTTTTATAAGTGCTCAAGTAGAATCATACTACTGGTAACAGATTTATAGGCAATCTAGAAAAAGATGTTTTTGGAGTTGAAAGTTCTAAACTTTGCCTTGTTACCATTTATCATATGACTAAAAAAGTCATTAACCTCTGATCCTTAAAATCTTTATTTGTAAAATCAGAATAATGACACTTGCTGTATTTATATTTCCTCATGGTTATAAACTTAAAATTGCTACACTAGTACTATTACTATTAGTACTATAATTACTAATTCCTTCTGTTATTATCACTAATAATACTAATTCTATCAATAACTGAAGCTCTCTATGTGCCAAAACTTTGTGACATACTTTTCATACCTTGTATCTATATGAAAACCCTCTCAATAGCCTTGTCAGGTAACTATTCTGATTTTCTTCTTAGAGACATCTCAGAGTGATTAATAACTTGCCAGAAGTCACACAGCTATTAAGAGCTTACATGGAAATTTGTTCATTTTAGATCCATTATATCTTGTTTTCTCTGATATATTACATGCATATTCATACACAATATCAACACATAATACATATCTCTATAACATAGATATATTATTCATTTTATATACACAGAGACATACACTTATGCTGTGAATTCTGAAATGCCATACCAAAGTTCTCTTTTATTTTTATGTTTTTAATTCCAAAGCCTAATGCATAAAACAAAGTAGGTATTTAGTCAACATTTGGGAAAAATAATATAAGAGAGGTAACTAAGATAATTTTGATTGAAATGTTCATTAACAAGTTTGTCAAAAGTAACAGTGACTACATCCTCCTCATCTTCAAAATTATGTTATTAAAAATTACTCTAGAAGACACATATTGCATGAAACTACTTATATGTGGAAGATTTTTAAAAAAGTTAAATTCATAGGAACAGAAAGGAATGGTGGTTGCCAGAGGCTGGGGTGTCAGAGAAAAGAGGAGATACTGGTCAAAGGGTATGAACTTGAAGCTATAAGAATAAATTCTAAAAATAAAAAAATAAAATAAACAATAAAAATAAAAACTAAAAATAAAAAAAGAAAAAGAAAAGAAAAATACAAGAATACATTCTGAGGACTCGTACACAGCATGGTGACTATAGTTAATAATACTGTACTGTATACCTGAAATTTGAAATTTGCTAAGAGTGTAGAACTTATGCATTCTCACCCACAAAAAAGGTAACTATGTGAGGTGATAAATCTGTTAATTAATTTAATTATGGTAAACATTTCACTATGTATATGTATATTAGATCAGCACATATACTTTAAATATATAAAGTTTAATTTGTCAGTTATACCTCAATAAAGCTGAAAAAACTTATTCTATGAAACAAACATATCCAGATTTTTAAAAAATAGTTTACGTTCAATTCTATATACAAAGTTGACAATGATAGAAAAGCAGCTATTCTCAATAAACGGGGGCTGACATCTAACCCCATGGTCCAGGTAAAAGGAGAGAGAAAGGATTCATTTTAAAATCACATACGATTCCTACTTTTCAAGGGATGAACATATTATCTTCCAAATTTAAATCTTCTACAAAGCTATTCTGTAATTTCCTGTCAAAACGAGATAGCCATACTTGCCACATTTCCCTTGACTGTGTAATAATAATGATGATGATAATCAAACAGTGACATTCAAAAAGAACAATTTTTTTTTTTTTGCAGAGTTAAGGAGAAGGGCGAGGGAGGTATTAGAAAAGATGCACAGAGGTCTTGTATCTTATCAAAGCATGAATTTCCAACTCTTTCAAATACTCTATTCTCTGCCCTAATCTCCCAAAGAGCAACCAGCTCAATGAAAAGTTTCTGACATTCATGCCAGTTCACAGCTAGAATGACATGGCTGGGGGACCGGAGGCGCTGCAGTTTCCATTATCCATTGAACACCTTGGCAATTCTTATTTCATCCTGTGAATGTGATACTTACTCTTGTACTGCTCTGGCTATGGAAAGGGCCGTAGATCCAGTTTCATTAACGCTATCTAAGGTCACATTTGGCAGGTCATCATCATCACTGTCACTTTTACTTTGTCTGGGAGATAGGCCTCGGGGGTCCATTTGTGCTGGGGAGAAAAGGCATATATAATGAATTAAAATCAGTGCGCAGAAAGTTAACCTTGTCCTGGACCAACATCAAGCATGGAACTTCTCTTCTGTGCATATCACACAAATGGAATTCTCTAGACATGACAGGAATTAGTGACAGCTCTACGTTTTATATTCTGAGTACTTAGTGATTCTTTTCACCTTCACTGGATTTACAATACCTACACCAGCTCTCAAGAGTTTCAGGGTATGATTATAGAGTAGAAACTACAAAATTCACAATATTACCAACTCCTGAGTGGCCAAAAGCTGATTACGTAGCTTCTGAGCTACCATTCAACCCTCTGGTTTCTCCTCCTCCTTCCTTCCGCTGCCAGAGTTCTGGCCATTTCACTGCTCAGTAGCACTCTCCCTGGAAGGTAGAGAGCATGCAGTAAGGGGATATTAGTTGCTTACAGCTCTCCTAATAAGTTAAAAGAAGAACAGCGTTTGCATGACTAAAAGAAAGTATAGGTATTTTTCTTCAGTGAATCACTGTCTCCAAGTTCTTTACTACTATAAGCTGGGATTTGAAGGCGTAAAAATGACAGAAGTGGTAGCATTTTAGATATCGTGTTTCTCAGTGCTAGACAGTGCTCTTCAACTCTATCCCGATTTTATTTTTCAAAAAGGCATGTCCAGATATGATTCTCCTCCCACCATGAATCTGCCAAAGCAGGAAATGGCACAATCTTCTGACCTCTGTTGACCAAGACTATCAGATCGTTTCAAATGAGAGGATTACTGTTAACATATGTTAACACATATTTCTAAAAATTAGATTTCATTTCCATCTCCTTTTCCCTATGAACAGATTTAGCAACCACTGCCCAGAATTTCTATCAGCCTTCACCTCAAGCACAAACTAGGCATACCTTTTCAATTAAAAGAAAACGCATGAGCTACACAACCACACTGTTAAACCGTATGGCTGCCTAAGATTTCTAAAACCACCACCGCTTGCCAGGGAAAGCGAAATGCGGGTGAAATCATGGTCACAGTGACATTTCGGTACATTTTATAGTTTCTTTTTTTTTGCTTAAATCCCTTTTTTTGGTTACCGTGTATCATACATTATACAGAACCACATGGAATTGCTGAGAATGCACCATTTTTAGCCATGAAATGGCAACTTCTGATGATTGTGTTTGATATTTACAATCTGGCTAGAAAAACTATACCTAGACAGTTTCAACATATTTCAACATATTGCTAACTACACTTGGTTAGGAAAGAATTTACATCTAGCGAACCTAGATATAAGTACACTGTGCACCAGTATTTGACATACATCCTGCCTATAAATATAAATATATCAAAATGTGCTTTGCACAATGGAAGTGTTTGGTAAATATTAAATGTAAAAGAAATTAATTCAAATAATCTAAAGTAGTTGTCCTCATTCAAAAGCAAATTTGCCTCCCAAGAGACACCCGCCAATATCCAGAGACATTACTGTTTGTCACAACTTAGGGGGGTAGGAAGGGTGCCCCTGGCATCTAGTGGGCAGAGGCTAAGAATGTTGCTAGACATTCCACCATGCACAGGACAGTCAGCCCCTCACAGCAAAGAGTGAGCCAGTCCAAAATGGTAGCAGTACCTAGGCTGAGGAACTGATCTAGGGATTCAAGTGTTTGGACATATAAAAGGTGTCATACTTTGACTTTCAATTCCTATGTAACTATGCTCTCACTTCAACACGGCTAACAAGGAAATTGTCACACATCAGATTATCCATATTTTCTGGCCTTGCCTTAAAAAAAATTCACTGTCACATGACTCTATACCTCCTCCAATTTCAGGAATTAGGCAGTAATATTTATTAAGAGCTTTTGAATATTTTCTTTGAACCATGAGCTATGGGACAAAAGGATTATTTTCCATCTGCTCTCTGGAGGAGATCCACTAGAAGAGGGATATTGGAGAAACTGGTTCCATCACCATCTGATAACAGAGAGCTTGACTACTCAGTCACTCGAAGGGCACTTGAAGGAACCATATCATTTAAGATTAATTTTGGCTGTAGGCAACAGAAATTGGCTGAGGCTAACATATAAAGGAATGTGCTGGAAAGATAATGAGCAGCGCACAGAATGGAAGGTCAAACAAGCAACGCTAAAAGAACGTACGATCCAGGAACGACACAGTCATTTCAGCTACGAATTCACAGATAGTTTCTTTTTGGACAATCCTGTTCCAAAATGATTCATTTAACAGCCTTTTGCAACTATTCAAAGCCAGCCAAAAAAAAAAAAATGAATATCAGATCTATCTAAGCTTCCAAATCACATATTGTGTGGTGTTTCATACACCTGTAAATGTCAACAATTTAACATTTTAAGTTGTCGAAACATCACGCGCTATGAAGCCTTTGCCAAGACACCAAATTTGCAAATAGCCAAGAAAAAAGAAAATATTCTGATTGTCCCATTTTGTCCAAGACAACTAGAGCTCTTATAGTAATACAACTCAAGGAAGATAGAGGCAGTTAACCGTGAGCAATCTGGCTCTGAAAGTTAGTCTGATTGTATGAAAGATTCCAAAACCTTGTGTGAAGTTGTTACATGATCATCTCATTATGTTATGTTTATATCTTAATGAAAGTTTAAAATATGTTAAATATGATATCTTTTTGATGTACTTTTCAGGAGCATAATTGAGGATTTCTTTGCAATATTTTCAATAAATATTATGAAATACATCTGCTACCATCATGCTGCAAAATTCTTTTTACCCATACCTTCAGCCAAGCTGAGGAAGTAATTAGAAAGGCTTTTCAAAATCTGCATTGCTGATTAGGTCAGATGATTAGCTTATCTACATACTTGCATAATTCCACTCTATTTTTATTAAATGTAGAATAGGGACATCAACCCTAGTTAACCTCCATTAGTCTTTGAGCATCTCAGCCCATTTAGGAAGGGCTGATTCTCTGGGGTGAACATTTAGAGACAAAAGGAAGTTACCTGGACACCAGAAACAAAAAAACATCAACTTGTGTAAGTAAGAGAACGGGAGATGATCTATAAACACCTGAAAAGAATTTACACTTTAGATTTTACTGCTTTTTAATTAAAAAGGGATCAGACAGTTTTGGGTATCCCAGCTTACTGCTGGTAGAGGGTCATTCCTTGGAGTTGGAGGTGTTGTGGAATCCTATGCGAGTTTCATTCCATGTGTCAAAATCCTGGGGAGAAAATATCAGAATCCCAACACCTGAAGTTGACCTGATTTACTTTGATTCAAATATTCACCTATGGTACATTGTTACTATAAAGATCCCTCCAGGAAACCATGTCTACCTGTATCCGCGCTCTTATGTGGCCACTTCTCAACAATGACTCTGGGCTTGGCTCTAAGACTTGATGTGACTAATGGGACATTAGCAAATGTGACACAAGCAGAGGCTTGAAAAGCTCTTGCACCTTGGGTTTCCCCTTTCCTCTTGCTGTTTTTAGAACCCAGTCACCTTGCAAAGACGCCCAGGTGAGCCTGTAAGAGGCACGCTGCTCGCTGGCAGCCATTCCCATTTTAGACTCACCAGCTACGTTACAGCCGCCAAATAACTGCAGCCCTGAGTGACCCCAGGTGAGACCTGCTTGAAAACCTCTTGGCTAAACCTATGCCACATTTCTGACTCACAGAATTTTGAGCAAATAAAACACCTGCTGTTTTAGGCTCGGTGCAGTGGCTCACACCATTGTAATCCCAGCACCTTAGGAGGCTGAGGCAGGAGGACTGCTTGAGCCCAGGAGTTTGAGACCAGCCCAGACAATATAGTGAGACCCTATCTCTGCAAGAAATTTTAAAAATTTGCAAAATGTGGTGATGCACACCTGTACTCCCAGCTACTTGGGAGGCTGAGGTGGGAGGATCACTTGAGCCCAGGAGGTTGAGGCTGCAGTGAGCTATGATTGCACCACTGTACTCCAGGCCTGAGCAACAAAGTGAGACCCTGTCTCAAAACAACAACAACAACAACAAAAAAAAAAAAAACAAAAAGAAAGAAAGAAAGAAAGAAAAAGACAAGACTTACTATTTTATTCTACTACAATTTAGGGTGACTTGTAGGTCAGCAATATAAAGTCAGTGCACCAGGTTACTCGCCCAGCTCCTTCTAGAGATCTCCTAGCAATGATGTGGATGAACTACAAGTACAATTACAGTCTTAAAAATATTGAACTGAATTAAGTTTGGCCTAAAGCTGCCTCTATACACTTTTAAGTTTGGTCTAAAGTTTCTTCTGTACATGGTGAGCTGTAACCTAACTTGATGTGTAAACAGATGCAACAGGCAGCCAAGTTTCGGTCAATCAAAGGTGGCCAACAGCTGAAACCAGATTCAATTAAGGCACATTCTGGGTTCTAACCAATGGAGCTGTCTCTGTACCTCACTTCCACTTTCTGTATGTCACCTCGTTTTCTCTGGCTATACATATAATCCACACACGCAGTAGGGTGAAGCATTCTGAACATTTTTGGTTGAGACTGTTGTCTGATTACGGAATCAAATTAAAGCCAATTAAGATCTGCAAAATTAGATTTGTTTTCTTCTAACAATATTCTCCTTTATTCTTTTCCCAAGAGCCAACCTTGTTTTAGTGACATAAAAGCTGCCTACTGCATTCTATGTCATTTACCTCTCAATGGAAAATATTCAAATGTATGTACGGGCATTTTGGCTTTTGAGGTATCTTCTTTGACCCTTCAGTACTGCATAGCTAAGGTTCTTCTTGGGTCCTATGGGGCCATCTGGTTATCATGAATGATACTTATTTATGTATTTATCTATTTATATTTTTAATTTTTTTTCAGATGGAGTCTCACTCTGTCACCTAGGCTGGAGTGCAGTGGTGCAATCTCAGCTTGCTGCAACCTCTGCCTCCCAGGTTCAAGCGATTCTCCTGCCTCAGCCTTCCAAGTAGCTGGGATAACAGGCGTGAGCCACTGTGCCAACTGAACAGCACGTTTTAGGTCTT